TTCATACCTAGGACTGGAGATGCAGTGTTTAACAGATTCGTTGGATCCATTTAAAAATAAACCCGTTTCATCAACTGAAGGGGGGCTGTTCATTAAATAGGCAATGGATTTTTCTAACAAAAAAAATTCAGTGCAAGGGCTTACTTTAAAAATGCTCTCTACGGAGGCATTCTTGCCTTCCCCTTGAATTTATCAAGCCAATGTACTGTACTATTAGAGTAAGGCCAGGATTGGAAGCCCCGCTGTGTGTGACTTGCCCATCCACTGCACAAGAACATAAGCAGAGGGAGGAGAACGCTCGTACGCTGGCCTGAGCTCTTCGTGTTCTCTGATGTTGAAAGAAGAATAAAGATGTATTTGGCCCTTCGGTGTTTGCTGAATTCGAAATATGACCCCCAGATGCAGTTGGGAATCCAACTGAGAGCAGATATAACTCAAGAGGCACTAGAAAAAATATACGGCGTGAGTATAGAGCTAGGTCAACAGTGAATTGGGTTCATAGTCTGAACTGGACAAGAGATGAATTGGACAGAGCAAACAGAGGAAATGGAGAGAGGTCCTTGACTCATCAAGACCAATATATTCAAAATAGCAGTCGCTATTGTTCAACAAAAATTGTTTGAGTGCTTTTTGAAATAATGTAAGCCACCCAGAGACTCCAGTAGGAGTAGGGGGCAGCATGTAAATGCATGCATGCATGCATGCATAAATAAGCAAGCAAGCAAATGGCTCCATGGGAAAATGCACGCGTGGTGGCTTTTCATTACATGGGAACATTTAGCGGTCCGAGCGATTTCCTCTGTCTTGGCCAGCCTTCCCAACCTGGTGCCATTCAGGTGTGTTTGATTGCAATTCCCAACACAGCTGGAAGGGGTGAGGTTGGAGAAGGGCTACTGCCAATCCCTTTCCATGGGTGACCTTCACTTCTACTATCACAAGAGAGCAATTTCCCCTTGAAAACTCAGCCCTGCTTTCTCTGCGCCAGGGACCGTTCCACAAATCTCCCTCAAGCCTTCGCCAACCCATTGAGTGGCCTGTTTCCCCACTAAACTAACATGCCTTTGGACCTTGTTACATGGGGCAGATCTCTGACCCTCCGATAATTTGGACACAGGCCTCCAACACATTATATGCTTTTTCTTTTCCAACTGGGGCTGCCTGCAGAAATGGATTGCACAGGGTAAATCCAAAAAGAGAGAGCTCACCCTAACACGCAGGGCTACACGGGGGTGCTGTATTTTGCTTCCGGACATCTCGGGATTGCCTTCTCTGTGGAGTAAGGGTGACCCCTGGTGGATGAGGAGCTAAAGGACAGCTGCCCTCTGGAGAAAGTCGGTTTCCATGGGAGGAAGCCCCTTGCACCGTCTGTGGCCGCAGAGACGTGGACGGATAGAGTCGCCGTGCATTCCCTGCAGAGAACCTTCTCAGCCGGGGAAAAGGGTGCCATCAAAAGCCTCCCTTCACCTCCGCAGCTCTGCCTGCTTTGCACTCACCATTTTTCCAGATTCTCTGACTTGTGAGGAAATATTCTAAATGTTCCAATCACTTGCACCAGTGCTTCTGCAAGCAGCCCCTGCTCCTCTGTGAGCTGCCTGGGCCTTTCTCCCAACTCCTGTAATAAATTAACTCTTGAATGCGTGGAAGCTGGGCTTCAGCAAGAACGAGTGCCAGCGCCTCCCACCGAAAGACACCAACTTTCATGCAACCCCTGGCTGAACATCTCCGGTGACATTCCAGGGAGCATCCGGTTCTGAAAGTCGCTGGCGATTGCAGGGTTCAGAGGAAACCCCTTATCTAGGTACTGGAAAAGGGGGATGATGGGGTTTCTTGGCCCGCCAGAGTTCACAAAGGCTTCCTTCAACTGCAGAAAGTGGAGAAATGGTCTGCCGACTAGTGTGGCTTTGCAGCACATGCATGGTAATTCTGTTTTCAGTGTTGTATATTGAATGTGTGTTTGCATTATGGTTGGTGAACTGGTCAGACAGCTTTGGATGTTGGGTACTATAGAAATGAAATAGATGTAACTATAATATGGCTTCGAACCTGCATCTCTCTGTGTGAAGTCAAAGCCATCCTGATCAGGGCCATACAGAGACAAATTAGGCCTGCAGGGCAGGAACGGCACCATCTTTCCCATCAATTCAAGCCAGCATAGCTGGGGAGGATGGGGTGTGCAGCCCAACACACCAGATTGGTGAAGGCTGACATGAAACATATGGAATTGCTGAACCAGCCAAATTAAAGATCAAACAAACCAAAACATAAACTGACATCTTCGAGACCTCTGCAGATTTTGGCTGTAAATTTGTTTCTTCTCTATACCACCCTGGACCTCCTTGAAAACCCTCCAGTTTTCTACAGTTGAAAATGGGGACTCCTTTATCCCCCAGATTCCCTATATTTGCAGACCTGTGCCCCCCCCCCCCACTCCCCACAACACTTGCTGTGCTCCTCTAGCTGTTCTTTGCATCCATGCATGCTCTAATAACAAATTGTCCTGCACTGGCTTTGTAAAATGATCCTATTACTGTCTATTTTAAAAGCATATTTAATAGACTCTTTAATCTCAAAACTGATGCTTGTACTGCAAAATTCCTGCAACTCTAATATAGTCACCAATTTCTTGGCAAGCGCCTTAGCAAAAGATAAAGTGGAAGCAATATAGCATGGGTATTGTCGTTTTACTTAGAGCCAAAAAGGGTAGTAATGCTCGAAAGCCCGACTGTTCCATGGTCTCCAAATAAGGAGGGCTGACTCAGGACATATTTCTGTCAGAGGCAAAGAATGAGGTGCATGTCCCACTGAAGTGGAAGCTGCTCCGAGACGTTCTGGAGGGGACGGGACAAAAAATAAGCTTTTAATAAATAAATGTACAAATGCCAACTGAATTTGCAGGCAGATCTTCCTTCAGCACTGGCCGTATTCTCCCGCCACACCTGAAGGAAGGTGCTTCATGGCCTGAAGGCAGCAGGCCACTGCAGGGGGCACAGGACAGGTGGATTGGCACCCAGCTTTCTCCTCCAGTGCCTCGCGGCCACCTGCCAACCTTTGCCATCTGAGGCAGCTGCCCCCTTCCACCTCATGGAAGGGCTGGCTCCGCACAGGAACTTCACCTGCTACGACCTCTGAACTGGCAGACCGAGCCCTCGAGGGAGGCCTTCCTGCTCTTCAGGTGGGGCCACATGCATGCGCACTAGGGGCAAGATGCTCCCACTCTCAGCTCAGGGATCCTCAGCTCAGTCCAAATCCTACGCAAGAGGGATGCACAGTGTCCTCCAGGCATCCCTCGGATCTTCCCCAAAGGCGAAAAACCCCTGAGAGTGACTGACAAATGACAAGTTTCCAGAAACAGAGATTATCCCTGGAAATAGGATAATCTTGATGCGTGCGCCACTGACTCAGTGGTGGGGAATGTTCACGGGCAGCGCACAAGCAACTCCTTTCTTCTTTCAATGGCTGCAGTAGCCTAAGGGTTGGTGGGCCGGCCAAGAAGGAATTATGAACCATTATGAAGAGGAGGCGTCTCCATTTCGCCTTTGTGCTCTGTGAACTGAGGTGGCCATTCATCTGGTGGTAGGGTTCAGTTTCATGAACACTTAGTTATGCCACAATAGGTCTATTAACCTACACGGCTCTACAAGACCCCCGATCTTGCCAAACCTCTGCGTCCCTCAGTCCTGCATGTGTGGAGTTTCCTTTCCCTTTGTTCTGGTTTTCGTTATTAGCCACTTATCTTTCTTTTCCTATCATCTTAATGTTCCACTTGACTCTTCTCCTGTTCAAAACTTAATTATTGTAGTAGAGTCTGTGTCGATTCTACTGGGGTGAGAAGTATTTCCAAGGAAGGACGTGTCCCTCAAATCATCTTTCTGTCTCCATTTTTAAATATCCCTTTGACGTTTCCCATTTTACTTTGTATGTTTTTACACATGCTTATCTATAAAAATGGATCACGGTGTCACAGAAGGGACAGGTGCAAAAGCCGTGACAATGCAGTGAGTAGGCACGTTCGGCGAGCGAAGCCCGAGGGTCCCCCGGAACTGGGGCAGGTGGTGAAGCTGCTTTAGCAGCCATCTTTTGGAAATGGACTAATAGGTCAAGCACACCCTTAAGATGCCAAGCAAAGGGGAAAGTAAGGGAATAATTAAGAGTTGCAGTTTCCCAACCCGCCTTTCCCAACCTGCGGCCCTCGGGGTGGTTGGACTACAAAGGCCACCAGCCCCAGCTAGGCTGTGGGGCAGGGAGTGATGGGGGTGGGAGTCCTATCGGGAGGGCCCTACATCGAGGAAGGCGACCCCCGCTCCGGTCTTCCCCGGGGTCGGGCGAGATCGCCCCCGAGCACACGCCCCCTGCCCCTCCAGCGAGCCGCTCGCGTTTTTTTCCGGCTTTCCATCTGCGTGACGTCGTCAAACGCAGCGCCCAATGAGCGATGACCCCCACCTCCTCCCCGTTCCCAGGATGGGAAAACTCCGCCCATCGTCCCCGAGAGGAGGCGGGCTCCTCCCTTCTCCTCCCTGGGACTGCCCTATGCCCCTCCCCTTTCCAGCCACGGCTGGGATTGGCCCGCGCCGGCCAAAGCCCGGCCCCCCCCGCCCCGCCCCCGCCCTCCTCTCCGGCCACGCCTCTCTCTCTGCGCCCCACCGGCCCTGCGCCCCGAGCGCGTTCGCCCAACGGCATCCCGGCAGCGGCTTGAGTGACACGAGCTGGCCCAATGCGGGGGCAGGAGGCGGGCCCGGGCGCGACGTGGGCGTGCGGAGGAAAAGGGGCGGGGCGCAGGCGCCGTCGCGAGTGTCCGAGCGAGCGCCGAGCGAGCGCCGCGGCCCGGCTCCCCGCACGCCCCGCGCTCGCAG